CTGGAACCATGGTCCAGTGGATAAATCGTTGTATCGTTCAAGATACTGAGTCAAGCTCGTCTGAGGAGGGTTAGCTCTTGGATGGGTGACCTAAACATTATATCTACTCACGCTTTTGTTCCTTTTGATCCCTTTTTCTTTTTTGATTTGATTTTTAAAATAATATAATACTGTATAGAATAATTAAACTCTTCTATTTTTGAGTAACCTATTCCTTTCTTCCCACATCCGTCGAACTGAAATCAGGCAGAGGAAAATACCTGGGGGGGGAATCAAACTGCCCGTCATTTAGTATTTTATAGATCTTATTAATCGAGCGGGAGGTCTGTACAGGATAATCTTGACCGAGGTCGGAATGTACAGACCGAGCGCAGCGAGGTCTGTACATTCCGACCTCGGTCAAGATTATCCCGTACAGACCGACAAAGCTCGGTTAATAAGAGTTTTATTATATGACCACTTTTCATTGAAAAGGACAAAATGTTTTCGCCGTAAGATTAATATGCGATCGGACCGGTTAATACCGGGGAATCTAGACCGGGCGATCTATCCAATCAGATTGCTCGATTTGCTAGTGTCCAGGCTCTAAGATTCACGGTCATATAGTAATTTCACATATAAAACAAACCAAACTCAAAACTCAAACAAACTTTTTTATGCTTTCTATAATCGTTTATAGCACTAGCATTATTGAATCTCAAGTAAATATTTGCAAATAGAAATGACTTAAAACAAGAGACATCTTTTCACGTACATCTTGAACTTTCTTTGTCAGTTTGTACATCCAAGTAATTCCTAATCCTGCATTTAGCCTTGAATTTCAGCAACTAATGAAAAACGAACATGCGTAGACATTAATTTCCGACACGTGATTCGAAGCCCCACCCTCAATCAATCACTTTGATAAATTAGACATTGATTGGCAACTGTCACTTGAATATAAATCAGACTTTATGGTATAATAGGACTCTTGGATAGTGCCATGAAGACCTCTGGGTACTATTGCGCAATTTTGGCATTTTCTGACGCAGGACACCCACGCATATTTGGACTGGGCTGCCCAGGTCCTGTATATTCCCTGTAAAACCACATCTTCTCGTTTTAATTTACCTTGGTTCAATAGAAAGCTTCGCAGGATGTGCAAAAAGAAACAACGTATCTATAATAAGGCAAAGAAATCGAAGAATAAGAAACACTGGGATAGTTATAATCTAATGAAGAAAAATCTCCGTCAG